GTCACCTTGGAGTGCTTAGCATAGCCCTGGAGGTAACATACGTATTCTTTCCTAAAATTGACCTACTAGATAATGTCCCTTTTTTATATCCTGATTTTCCTTCACGGTTGCCATCCTCCTATTTTATAAAAGAAAATACTAATGCATCCATTCCAATATGGTACACTGCCCCAAGGATGACAGGCAGATGGCACTAAACAAAGGGACAGTTGTAGAATGTGTGGCTCTTTTAGGCTAGTCCCTTGAGAGAAAAGCTGGAAACTGTTGGGAGAGGTGGCTGATTTCTAACAGGCCATCAATTCGTGGCAAGTCTCCATTATCTGTCTACTCTTCCATCTATCTTTTTTTTTTTTTTTAGAGGCAGTGTCTTGCTCTGTGACCCAGGCTGTAGTGCAGTGGCACTACCTTGACTCACTGCAACCTCTGCCTGGGCTCAAGCGATTTTCCTGCCTCAGCCTCCGGAGTAGCTGGGATACAGGCGGGAGCCACCACACCCAGCTAATTTTTGTGTTTTTAGTAGAGGTGGGGGTTTCACCATGTTGGCCAGACTGGTCTCGAACTCCTGACCTCAGGTGATCCACCCACCTCGGCCTCTGAAAGTGCTGGGATTACAGGCGCGAGCCACTGTTCTTGGCCCCCTTCCATACATCTAAAAATTATAATTTTGAAGATAAATAGTAATTACACCATGTATGTCTATTAATGTGCTTATTTGAAATGAAAAAATGCAAAATTTTAACTGAAAAATAAACTTGGCCAACTAATTTGACACATCCTGACTGCCAGTTAGGATACATGACTAGAATATTCTATAAATTGAAAAAGTTAAATATCATATCTAATATATTGACAAAATTTAAAGATGAAATATTGAAAACATGCTACAAATGTTATGTCAACTTTTATGTGTTTTTACGTGTCAATGTGTAAGAGAGTTATTCCTCCACTTTAGCAGAATATGAGTAAAAAATGTGAGCCAACAACTTTGTTGGCTCCAGCATTTCCAAGGTAACCAAAAAGCATAGTCATCCAAGGGCTTAGAATGGAACCAACATGGAACTAGAAGTCTATGGAATACTACTTAACATTTTCCAGCACAGAGTATTTTTCCCAAACAAAACTTGAGATAGCGATTGTAAGGTCAGCACGCATCGGGAAGGGAGATGAATGCTCAAACAGCAGGGACTCAATAATGAATCCTCAAACCAAAAGCCCTGTCTTTCTCTGAAAAACAATTTCCTGTTTTTTGTTTGTTTTTATGTAAAACCAGTTTCTATTTTAAAAGTAGTTAAGTTAGTTATCCATTGCTGTGGAACAAATTACCCTAACATTTGGCCATTTGGCAGCTTTAAACAATAAACATATGTGATGCCACAGCTTCTGTGGGTCTGGAATCTGGAATCTGAGACTGGCTTGGCTGCGTGGCTTCAGCTCAGCCTCATGAGGTTGCCATCAGGCCATGGGCTGGAGCCACTGTCTTCCCAGGGCTGTAGAATCTGCTTTCAGGGGACTCACAAGGTTGTTGGTGGACCTCAGTTCTTGCTGACTTTTAGCCAGAACCTCAACTGCCTGAGTGACCTCATGACATAATCGCTGACTTCCTCCAGATTGAGTGATCTGAGAGACAAGGAGCCCAAGAAGGAAGTCATCTTTAATAACCTAATATTGGAAGTGACATAACATCACTTCTGCTATATTTTATTGGTTACATAGACCAACCCTGTATAATGTATAAGAGAACTGAATGAGAGTGTGAATACCAAGACATCAGGATAATTTAAGGCCAACCTGGAGACTGGCTACCACAGTAGTTAGTACATACACAAAAATAATTTCTGGATAAATTAAAAACGTTCACCTTGCCAGGCATGGTGGCTCACACCTGTAATCCCAACACTTTAGGTGGC